CCCAGCCATAGCCACAGACTGCTCACCGTGCGGTGGGAACGATGAAGAGGTTCTCCGGCTCCGGGTGTGAGAGCAGAAGGTCGCGTGTCATCCTCCGAAGCAGCAGAGCCTGCTGGATGTCCTTCTGCCCAAAGTACGTGCGCGTGGGCTGTGCACCTGTCATTGCCCGCCGGCCTTCTCAGAGCCTGGAGGGACATGCGTACCTCTATGACGTTGAACAGCTTCGTGACGACCGTCGCGACCCCGCGGAAGAAGGCCGGGCGCGTCCTGCCCTCCATCTGGTGCCCGTAGCCCTTGACCTCGACGAAGGTGCCCTTCTGCTGGTCGACGCTTTGCACGATCCCGCTGGGGTACATTTCGCTAACCGTCGGCACGAAGACCGCGGCGGCGGTGCGGCCGGAGACGGAGACGGCGGAGAGCAGCTCGAGGTCGCGGGGCAGCGTGCGAGGGTACGTCGCTAGGTCTTCGTGGGGCGCGAACTGGGCCGGGTTCACGAAGATCGAGAGGACGGTGAGGTCGTTCTCCGCCAGTGAACGGCGGACTGAACGGGATGTGAGATGGGGAGATGCGCGATGTCACTTTGCGACACACCGAGGGAGAGATGTCCTTCATGCAACGCGCCCATCGTCGCAACGAACCCGACAGCCTTCTTCTCCTCATAGGCCTTCCTCCGCCATTCTCTGTACGAGGCGACCGTAGGGAAGAGCGATATTGAGGATTGCGGGAGTTCGGTAGACATGTTCCGTCGCAATAGTCGTAGGGGTGTGTTGCTCGCTGGCAAGCGTCGTGCTAGAGACTCAGTGTGCTTCAGCCGAGCGATGAACATCGATGTCGCGGTGCAGGGTGCGGTGAAGAGGCGTCATGCCACTGCCAGGCCATCGGACGAGAACTTGAAGGAAAACCCGGACGTAAATTCGCTGCGACCTGATCACGGCACCATATGTAACGCGACCCACGTGGTTCCGCCTTGCAACGGGTCGTGGGCGCTGGTCCCCGCTTTGCTCTCTTCAAGTTCTTCGCAGGCTCCTCCTCATTTTGAAGCTCCCCTATCCGCTCTGTCCCTCCTCTGGGTCTTGTTGCGACGCTGGAGGTCCATTTTTCCACTTGTGTTCCTCTGGCTGGCCCACGGAGCAAGTCTTACTCTTGAAGGAGGGGATGGGATATGGTTGGCTACGTAGGATGGCGGTAGGCAAGAGGGGTACATGCCGGTGCTCTACCAGCTGTTGGACATGATCGCCGCTGTTGCATGATAGCGGTACGCGGTTAGCCAGTAAGTAAACCCGTCAATGGCACCGGCAGGCCTACCTCTGTAGGGCTCATAGGGTCATTATCCCCGCTCCAGCCTACCCGGTGAGAAGTCTCTTGCAGCTTGCTGCGAGGAATTATGCATGCATGTCTCGACAGGACTCCAAGGACAACGAGTCCGAGTCTTCCGACTCTGTCGCTCTTCTAATTCCAGCAAATCTGTCGTAGGCAGTGTCACCGGAGCCGCGCTGCAGTGCGTGTCTCAGATGTCTAGATGCCGCCTGTGGTACTCCGGCAAACCTTCCTCTCCACGAAGGCAATGAACGATCCTCTTCCGTCTCGTGTTTACTTGAGGCTAGTTTGATGAACTTCGGATGCGGGTCGCTGGGTCGAAGCGAGGCCCCGGTTCCGACAGACCATGACTTGACCTGACTGCAAGCCCGACGACGTCCTCGGTCTTCGAGCTATATAGAGAGCACTCCCGTATTCAGCACGACTACGGCCCCAAGGCGCTGCAACCGTCTGCGCATCTCCACATACCAAGCACTAGCACCCCACCCAAAGTTGAAGATGGACGCAGCCCAGATCCTGCAGGCCGTGTTTTCCGCCTTGAATCCTGGTCCAACGCCGGAGAACACCACAGCTACCGCAGCCGGGTCCCAGTGTCCATCTGCGCCTTCATCCCCCCTCGCCACGCATTCTTCAGAGTCATCAGATGCGCTTTCGCTCCCTCGGATGGTCTTCATGCTGCTCTCGGCGTCTGCGTTCTGGGACTGGGCGAAGCTCCTCCTCATAGGCGCACTCGTGGAAGGGCTGCGCCGCTCCCTCAGGACGGCATGGGAGAAACTCACTAGGTCATTGTGGGTCACTGCCACCTTCGAGTTCGACGACGATGCCGCAGGTGCGTGATGATACTAGTCAGCTATACCGCGGACGCTAACTGCGATGGTGCGCGCCCCAGATTGGTTGATGCACTGGCTGTCCAAGGAAAAGGTCTTCCGTAAGTCTTCGCATCTGGCTTGGCCGCACGAACGAACTGTTAACTTCGTTTTGCGTTCCAGTATATGCTCGTGACATCGAAGTTAGCACGCGTGGAGGCATGATCGACGACCTTGGCGACAACGACGACCCAGATGCGGAAGACAACGTCGTCTTCCTTCCTTCCACGGAGCAGACGTATTCTATGTGGTACAAGCGGCGGTACATGGTCATCGGCCGCGACCGTGTGACGAATGCCTTCGGACGCTCCACAGACTACCTGCAACTGCGGTATAGTCCTCTCGAGCTTGTCTACTGCTAACACGCGTTGACGTATCGTGGTTGTCTAGCATGCTGACGAGGAGTCCGGCCCTGCTCCGTGATCTGCTCCGCGAAGCTCGGAAGGCCTACAAGGCGGCGAACGAGGATCTCATCGAAGTCAGCGTCGCAGAGGAGTAAGTATCTCTGGTTTCTGCCTTCTTAGAGTCTCTTGAGCTGACCGCCTGATGCAGTGGCGACCGATGGCGACGCGTCGCAATGCAAACCAAGCGTCCTCAGTGCTCAGTCATCCTCGATCCTGGAGTACTCGAACTCGTCTTGGACGACGCAAAAGATTTCTTGAGCAGCAGGAAGTGGTATGCCGACCGAGGTGCGCTCTATGCTGCCCCACCGCAGCTCACTCTCTGACATGGCCGCGTTGACTCTGCCAGGCATCCCATTCCGCCGGGGCTACCTGCTGCATGGTGCATCGGGTGCCGGGAAGACCTCGATGATCCACACTATCGCCGGAGAGCTCAACCTCAGCGTCTACATCCTCTCTCTGACGGTGTCAGGCCTCAACGACAACAGCCTCAAATCACTCATCTCCAACCTGCCCAAGTCGTGCATCATTCTCATGGAGGATATTGACGCGGCGTTCACGCGCAGCATCAAGCGCGACATCGTCGATCCCGAGGCCCACTCGACTCCCGCTGCGGCTCCCAGCGAGGACAAGGGAGACGCCGGTCGCGAGACACAGATGGGCGGAGTCACGCTGAGTGGCCTTCTCAACGCCTTGGATGGGATCGCGGCTCAGGAGGGGCGCATTTTGTTCGCGACGACGAACAGCTACGGTGCGCTGGACCCTGCGCTTCTCCGACCTGGCCGACTCGACTTGCACGTCGAGTTTCACCTCGCGAGCGCGTACCAGGCGAAGGAGCTGTTCAAGCGCTTCTACCTGTATGCCCCGAGTGCCAGTGGAGAAGGGGGAGATTCCTCTCGCCCGGTCCCAGTTGAGGAGAAATCCCGGACCGACTCCTCCTCTTCGCTAGGGCCAACGTCTTCACCCGGTACCTCCCCAATGCCCGAAGGGGTGTCCAGCGTATACCCCGGCTCGGTGCACAACTCCCGCACCTCGCACCTCACTGCAACAGAGGCCGCAGCCCTTGCGGAACGATTTGCCGAGATCATCCCCCCACGCACTTTTTCGATGGCGACCCTCCAGGGATATCTCATGGCTTACAAGACGCGGCCATATGCTGCTGTTGACGAGGCCGACGAGTGGGTGCAGAAGAAGGCGAAGGATAGGACGGCTCGAGCAAAGGACCCGAGCGGTGCACCCACTGTGGCGGATGGCGGCCAGTCGCCAAGGCGTGGTCGCTCTATATGAACGATTGCTGTTCGAGGTCATGTAATTCGCCACAGCAAGTCGTCAGCTTCGGTATGCGACACCTCTGGTGGCCAGCGACGAGCGCGATCTCGGTCGTGCGGGCGCAACACACTATACTTGTTGCTCAACGCTGACGGCCGGGTGCGCATGTGCACATTGCTTCGTCACGTCTGGAGGGGACTGTCGGCGAGGGGACGTATCGTGCATGGCGCTATTATATAGCGAACTGCGTCTATCCAGTGCTGTACATACCCGGGAAGTATTGGTGAATTGAGCAGCGTCTCCCGCCACAGCTAATGGTCGGCTCTGACTCCATGCTAGCCTCTGGCGGTAAACGAGATCTCGTGTTCAGTGCCGCAGCGAACGTCCGCGTCATACAGTACGTTCCTCAACACTAACGGCAATACATGCGCAAAATTCCTCTGCATTCTTCCTACTTGCAGCAGAACAAGTCTGGACAAGACCGTCAGCAAGGAGAGGTATGAACATTGAAGTTACCGACAGACGTACATGCAGCGACCTCCTTCAATCTGCTCCTCGTCGTATCTGTGCATCGTCGGAATCAGTGAGGGGAACACCTTTCAATCGCAACGGAACTCACGTCTCTCCACCTCCACCCTCCATTGGCCGTCCTGGTAGGTTTGGATCATCGTTTGGCCACGCCCATATTTCCGAACGAACTCCCTGGGATCCCATGTCCAGTGAGTGTCCTACCTGATACAGCTACCGTCAGTGGACTGACCAGATATCCATTAGTGTACTATGTACTGTGGCGGTCTCAAGGTCTGAGTGTCTCTGAAGGGAGGGGGACGTGTTCTGGCGAAAGACACCCGGATTCTCTGCTTATATACCGGCTCGAAGTCTGGGTAAGCGGCGGCGCCAGTGCGCGCGCGTCGACTTCCTTCGAGTTCGTGAGGAATATGCGCCTCCCACATACAATAGCTAGCTCGCTGAAGAGATCCGGTGAAGACAAGGTGACGACCTTCGTGAGTGCAGCCGCACTGAAGGCGCATCAGCATGCACGATCTATAAACATGTATCGTGCAGTACCACTGGCGATCTAGGGAAGGTTTCACAAAGTCTACATAAGAAGAAACCGAGGGCAAAAAGAAATACAAGCAAGACCGTACGAGTCAACGAAGGATCGAACTTAGGACCTTCGGTTCGCCGAGGTTACACAAATGCGACAACTGACTATGCCACCGACCCTTTGCGTGGGGCCGTCCGGTGCGTGTATAATCCGTTCCCTCAGCACACCAACCTAGACAGTTGCCTCGCAGGTCGTCCTCCCGTCCTCCGACCTCCATTACCGACAGCGCCTCGAGCCAAGTGATTCATGGACGACATGGTCTGTCATTGCATCTCTGGAGACCATCTGCAAGCAAGATATAATGCGCGGGCTCCGATCCCACAAGAGTACTCGCTGGCAACTTCGAAGACAGCATGGCTTCCGAGGCCCGGGTGGGCCGCTTAGATTCCATTTTGCTGCGAATGCGGATGTACTTACATGCATCCATGACAGTCACGGTATCCTCATACCCTCGTAACGGTACAAGCAGCCTCATCTCGAAATTCGCATCCACGATGCCGCTCCTGGGCGCGACCCAGTCTACGACCAGCTACGATCGCTGTTCCATCCTTGCGGCAATGCTTTGTAGTCACAATCCATCGGCTCTCTGCTTCTCTGGTTGAGACGACCTCACTGGGTGCAGCTCGTTACGTCGGGAATGGAGCTACTTCAAGTTCGTCTACCCTCTCCTCAGCACGTTGTCTTCCCAAGGTCACCACCGTGGCGAGACTTCGTTGCCACACACACCGTCCCTAACGCTACGAGCGGATCACCTCAAAGCCACCAAAACGCCTCATCTGTAGCACTTGTGGGGGATTTCGCGGGACTCAGAACCACAGTCTTGGAGCAACACGTCTGTTGCCACCCGGTCAAAACCGCACCACTGGCATCGATGCCATGTACCTAGATTGTTGCTTCAAAAAGTCCGCCATCTCCGACCATGCCCCTTGGACTAGCTCTGCGGCTCTCTCCGCAATGTCCATTCCCAGACTCGGAAGTTGGCCCCGTCGTTACCGATAATCCGCACCTCTTCTGGACTTCCAAAGACCTCGACAACGATCGCGCCGGAAACGGGGGACACATCCCTGCATACAAGCACGACCTGGGCAAGAGGGGCGGAAGCGTGGCCGCAGGCGACCCATCTTCAACACTCAAGGACGTTGCGGACTTTGCGCGCCGGCGTGGCAACCACGTCGATTTGACGTCTCCCCGGGGACGGATGCCACGCCCCCCTACTCGGCCGTTGTTCTCCAAAACACCGTTGACGATTCAAATGTATGTCCTTCCCCGCCAGGCTGGCACCGGCATCCCCATGCGCCGCGCTCGCTGAGAGTCGCAGAGCCTGGCGGATAGCGGCTGGAACTCGAAGGAACGCGAAGATATTGGACCCTTATGCGTGGCGCGGTTCAAGATGCGCGAGCTGTTCCTGGATGTGGAAGGGAGATGTCCGCTGCTCGCATTCGGAGCACTTCTGGTGAGTGCGTTCTTCGTGTCCGTCCGTGCGTGGCATATGTTCTCATGTTCGTATATCGTGGCGGCAGGACTTCTGCTTGGTAGATGAAACCTGGTCGATGTCCCATCTATTGTATCACCATATACCACTTGCCCTTCGCAGCTTGTTCGGACCGCGTACATCCCAAGTCGCGCGCCATGGTTGCTCGGGGCAGGCTTCCGCCACAGACCCTGATCCGATGTCGGATAGAAGCGCGACTTCTCGCCGGCGGGTGCCAGTAGCCGCAAGACATCCTACCCAGGCGGACTCGTTCTATGCCTGTTCCTCCAGATAGAAATCACCAATGCAGTTGCCGAATGGATTGATGTCGATGAACTCCGCCGTCGGTGTGGCTGGGCATAGGTGCAAAGGTGTCGAAGCCGTGACTATGCTGTCCTCCTATATGTGTGTATGCCTACCAATCAAGCGTGTTGGCCGTGCTCTTCTCACCTCGGACTCAAACAGGAGGTGCGATAGACGGTAATGGCGGTCATGGCAAATTGTCCGCGTCTTGCGCGCTATACGTATAAAGAACACCCACTGGACACCATCTACAACCGTCACCCCCAAGACCACAGCGTGCATCTTCGTGTTGAGGTCCAGCGCGTGCACCAGCCTCAGACCTGCCCCTACGGCCATGCTCGACCACGACATCCTGTACGCCATCTTCAATCACCTCGCGGTCCCTGACCGTTCGTGGTACGAGTACGAGGGCCCCGCCGTGCCAGGAAGGGAACGTTCACCACAACAACAAGACGAGGCGATTCGACGGGCTACCCTGGCGGCATGCGTTCGTGTGTGCTGTGCTTTCTTCGAGCCGGCAGCGTCCGTCCTGTGGAGGGACCTCGACGACCTTGGACTCGTCGCTGCATTCGACGCGGGCACGTCCTCCGATGCTCTGGTGAGAGTCCCAAAGTCTCCGCGTTTGACTACTGTACTTACCTATGTTTGGTGATATAGCAGCAGCCGGAGCACCGCCGTACATCCTCTCTGGAACGGCGACAACAATACGTCTCTCACATCCGAGCGATCCACCGCCCGCAGGACCCGAGTACCGGTAACCCGCCTCCTCTCAGCGCAAGTGGTGCTCGGGCGGAGACGCCATACGCTTTCGGTCTCACGAAGCTACGATGGACACAAGAGGTCCCCGGGAACACGGACCTCCTCACTCTGCTCAGTCCCCTCCTCCAATCTCTGCACATCGTCTTCTGCCATCCGGATTCCTGGCGCAGCGACAACGCGAGCGGGGACAAGGTGTTCGTCGAGACGCTCCTCGTCCAGGTTGCAGAGAGCGCCCCGAACCTGACCTACCTCCGTATCACTCGGACGAGCGGAATACCAGAATCATGGCTTGTCCCTGCACAACGGTTCGCGCGTGTGCAGACGATCGACCTCCTCGAGCCGATGCACGACGCGGTGTCCTCCGCTGCGCTCCTGCAGCCCCTGTCGACTCTCCAGCACCTGCGCACACTGAAACTGCATTTGCAAGGCACAACTTGCGACACCGCGCTCGAAGCCGCAGCTGGAGGGTTCGTCACTCTTCGTGAGCTGCACCTCTACGGCAAGTTCGCGGCGCTGCAGGACGCGACAGACCTCCTCCATCGCATCGCGTCTCCGCATCTGCGCTCTCTACGCATAGACGAGTGCGAGTGTCGCACGGACGCCTTCGCGGATAGCCTCCGTGAGCTGTGCGCCGTTCTCAAGGCGCAGTGGGCGTCCGCCCTCGAGGTCGTCGCGCTGTTCGTGTGTGCGATCGGGCACTCGGTTACGCTCGAGCGGCCGCTGACTGAGTACCTCCATCCACTCTTGCAGGTCCGCGGCGTCAGAGATGTTCGCTTGTCTCTCGCTCCCAAGAGCATCGCCGTGGCTGTTTCCGAAGCGGACCTGAGGGCGATGGCGGAGGCGTGGCCACTGCTGGAGAGGTTGCACCTGGATGGCACATTGTCCAGATCTGGCGGAGGGGTTGGTCTGCCCCACGGGATCCTTGAGCGGATGGTGCAGGCTTGCCCGCTGCTGGAGGACATTCGTCTCCCCATCATCAAGGCAGACGGCGAGGTTGATGTGTCCGGAGTGTGGGGTCTGGTCGGTGATGCGTATGTTGGATCGTATTCATACGGAAGTTGGACGGAGCCCTTTCTATGTCCATGCTTGTGTAGTGCATAGATAACGTCTGCGGGCTTCCTGTGAGCCTCTGAACGCAATTCGACACATGATAACATTCTCCTTCTGAGCCTTCGAGGATTCAGGCCTCGATCCAGGATCATAAAGTACGTGCATTACGACGTGTGCGCCGTGCGGACGTGCGTAAATGACCACTACACGTTGCTCGACACCGTGTTCAGAGCTCTTCCAACTCGACTTGCAACACTTCCTGCTGCCACTACCACCGTGTCCTGCCTGGCTTTCCTCGTCGGGATGTCTTCGCTGCCTCGCTTGTCGCCCTCGGCCTTGGCTCAGCTCTACGCGACGTCCTGCGCTCTTGTCCCTTCCGACATTCAACACCGCAGAGCAAGTCGTCCGCGAGCACATCGGAAGTGAGTGGCGGAGTCGCTAATTACCCAAGATGAAAAGGACAGCTCGGACCAGCTTGCATGTCTCAGCCTGGGCTTATATACCACTTCAGAAGCCGCCGGGCGTCCTAAGCCGTCAAGGCGAGCTCGTGGTGGTCGCGGTCGACGAGAGGTGAATAGGCGCGGAGCGGAGGTGGCACGCGCGGTCACTCTCCTCCAAGTCCTCGCTCCTGCACTCGCCCTCCCTGCACGACTCGCAACACTTTTCACCGCCGTGTTCTGTTTGGCCTCTGAGCTCGTTGCGGCTACTTCGCTTGTCGCCCTCGGCCTCGGTTCAGCTCCACGCGCCGCTCTGTCCCTTCTGCCATACGCTCTCTGTCGCCATGGCCGTCCCTAGGCAAGGCTTGGTTCTGGCTGTCGACCCAGCACAAGCCTTTGCATGCGCGATATACCATCTCTCACTCTCGTTTCCCTCGTACAACCTTCCCGCCAACCGCACTTACTCTCACACTCTACCCTTCACCTCGCCAGCCCGCTGTGCGCGTTGAGCCGGAGCCCCAGCACCCCGCCATCGAGAAGTGGACGTACTGGAACGCCTTCGACCCGGACTCTCATGAATTCTTTGAGAACAAACATGGCCCCTACGAGGCCTTCATTGACCGCGCTGACCGCAATCACATTCCCGCTGACCGCTCAGTATTCAATACCGACCGTGGTCAAAATGGACGTCAGCAGCCCTAGCGGGGCGTCCTCCAGCGGACGCGGCTTCCCCCTGAACATCGCTGACGTGAAAATCCCGGAGAACGAGAGGAAGCAGCAGCTTCTGCGGGATAGGGACTTGTTCAGGTAAGTGGCATGCGCATCCTCGACGACTCCATTCCCCGTAACACCGCCCTTGACTCGCAAGTCGAGGCCGAGCACCGTATCCCCTCCGATGAGCGCGTCCAATACTGCATATCCCCCATGGACAGGAGGCTGCTCGCGCGGAACACGAACATCGGCCAGCAGCGAGTGTTCGTACGGGAGCACGTTCCGACCTACCTTGACCTCCTCCAGGAGGACTCGCGCACGCCCTCCCCCGAGCCAGCACCTCGTTCGCGTGCTTCCGAGCCATCCACTGCCGCGCATCCATCCACTC